ATAAATAAATAATGACAATATTATTAAAAGGTTATATTAGAATAATATATTATTTTATAAATCTTTATAATTTATTTAAGATAAATTTTTATTTGAATAAGCATTTTAGTTAAAAATCCTAGAGTCTTTCGTATAACTATTTCAATATATTTATAAATTTTTCATTTTGATTATATATTTGTAGAATAAAATTATTAAAATATATCCCCTAATTTATAATATGACCATTATTCTGAAATTATGTTAATGAATGATAATTCTTTATCTAAATAAAAATACACAATTTATTTATTATGATTATAAAACGAAAGGATAATTAAATAATATAATATAGAATTAAATAATATTAAATATATAGGATTATAATACTCTAAAATTATATAGAAGTTTCTGTATTATTCACATTAAAGAAAGTTTGAGAATTAGTATTAAAATATAAATTACATATTTAAGAAATTCAAAAAAACATTATTAATTATGCAAGTGAGACAATTTTAGAATAAAAGTTTTATTTAATAATAAATACGATTATGATTTTTCATTAATAATTATCAATATGACTACGAGATCAAGTCTAATTTGATATGAAATAATTAAACAACCTATTGAAATTAATTTTAATGTGTTTTTATTTAAATAAGATTATTATACTGTCTATAGTAGTACAAATTTTCATATAATTCAACTAGAATTTTTAGTAAATCAATTTAATTTTTATTAATTTAAAGAGAGAATGCGTCCCAAGACAATAGAAGAGTAATATAAGAAAATGAGCCATATCGAACATATATTAAATAGGCCTGATACTTATATTGGAAGTGTTCAAAAAATGAACGAGCTAATGTGGATTGTGAAAAATGGGAAAATGATTCAAAAGGAAATCGAATATGTACCTGCATTTTTTAAAATATTCGACGAAATTTTAGTGAATGCTGCAGATAATATTCAAAGGAATAACTAAACTTATAAGATGACTTAATTAAGAGTAGAAATTGGGAACTAAATTTCTGTAAAAAATGATGGTTAACCAATACCTGTAGAGATTCACAAAGAATATCAACTTTATGTTCCTGAATTGATATTTGGGGTATTTTTGACAGGAAGCAATTTTGATGACACAGAAAAAAGAGTAGTTGGAGGTAGGAATGGTTATGGTGCGAAATTGACTAATGTTTACTCAAGTGAATTTTCAGTTGAAGTTTGTGATGGAAACAATTATTTAAAATAGGTTTGGAGCAATAATATGAGTAACAAGTAGATACCTATAATAAAATAGATGAAGAAAGATCCTTTTGTATAAATAACTTATAAGCCAGATTTTAAAAGATTTGGTATGAATGAAATTGAGGAGGATACTTAGGCATTATTAGTGAGAAGAGTTTATGATATGGCAGGAATATATGGAAGTAAGATAAATGTATATTTGAATGATGAAAAAATACCCATAAATTCATTTTAGAAATATGTTGATTTATATTTGCCTAGTAATTCCATAAAAATTTATGACAAAGAAATGACAACTCCAAGATGGGAAGTAGTAGTAAGTTATTCTGCCACTCAATTTTAACATGTTTCATTTGTTAATTCAATTTTTACTTCAAAAGGAGGAACTCATGTGACTCATGTTACTGATAAATTAATTTAAGAGATTCAAAATGAAATGAAGAGCAATAAGAAATACAAACATTTAGAAGTACAGAAGTATTAGATCAAACAATCTTTATGGATATTTGTTAATTGTTTAATTAATAATCCAACTTTTGATTCTTAGACAAAAGAAAATTTAACAACTAGAGTTACTGACTTTGGTGGTAATGATGAAGAGAAATTTAAAGTTACAGAAAAGTTCTCTAGAGCACTCATAAAGACTGATATTATTGAAACTATATTCTAATAAGCAAAGGCTAAAGCAGATGCTAAATTAAATAAATAATTAAAAGGTACTAAAACAAGTAAATTACATGGAATTGAAAAATTAGATGATGCTAATGATGCTGGAAAAAAGAACTCAGAATTCTGTACATTAATATTAACAGAAGGGGATTCAGCAAAAGCTTTGGCAATGGCTGGAATAGATATTGTTGGAAGAGATAGATATGGAGTATTTCCATTAAAGGGTAAGTTATTAAATGTAAGAGAAGCATCAGTAAAATAAATTATGGAAAATGAAGAAATCTAAAATTTGATTAAAATTATTGGATTATAGAAGGACAGAGAATATGGTGATTTAAAATCCTTAAGATATGGTTCAGTTATGATAATGACAGATTAAGATATTGATGGTTCACATATCAAAGGATTGATCATCAATTTTATACATCATTTTTGGCCTTCATTATTAAAATATAGAGGGTTTCTGAAGGAATTTGTAACACCTTTAATCAAAGCAACCAAAGGAAATTAAACAATTCCTTTTTTTACTGTTTAAGATTTTAATAAGTTTGCTTAAATTCAAGATATTAAGAGTTGGAAGATTAAGTATTACAAAGGGTTAGGTACATCTGATGATTTAGAAGCTTAGGAATACTTTCGAAATTTGGTTGGTCATACAATCTAATTTAGATATGATAATGAGGATGATGATTAATCAATAGATTTATGTTTTAATAAAAAAAAAGCTAATGATAGAAAATAATGGTTGGCATAGTATAATCATGATTTATATGTTGATCACACATAGAAAGAATTAGGATATTAAGATTTTATACATAAAGAATTGATTCATTTTTCAATGGCTGATAATATTAGATCTATACCTTCAATGATGGATGGTCTCAAACCTGGCTAAAGGAAAGTCTTGTTTGCATGTTTCAAAAGAAATCTAAAATAAGAAATTAAAGTTGTTTAATTGGGAGGATACATAGCCGAACATTCAGCATATCATCATGGAGATATATCTTTGGTAACCACAATTATAGGTATGGCTTAAAACTTTGTTGGATCAAACAATATAAATCTTTTATTACCAAGAGGTTAATTTGGTAGTAGAGCTATGGGAGGAAAGGATCATGCTTCTGCAAGATATATTTCAACTGTACTAAATAAAATTACAAGATATATCTTTCCAGAATAAGATGACCATATTGTCAAATATATTGAGGATGATGGAGAAATGGTTGAACCTGAATATTATGTTCCAATAATTCCTATGAGTCTAGTAAATGGAGCTGAAGGTATTGGTACAGGTTGGTCAACTTCTATTCAAAATTATAATCCTTTAGAATTAGTGGATTAGATTAAGAAAAGACTTAATGGTGAATAATTTGATAATCTTACACCGTTTTACAGAAATTTCGATGGTATTATTGAAACCCAACCAAATGGAAATAGTCTTATTAAAGGTATAATAGAGTGCAATGAGGAAACTGATGTTGTGATTATTAAAGAATTACCTATAAAAAAATGGACGAAGAATTATAAAGAATGGTTGGATAAAGAAATAGCATAAGAAGGCAATCCTATTATTGATTTAAGAGAGTATCATACTAAATATAAAATTCATTTTGAAATATAAATGACAGAGGGTTATGTTAGTCAATTAAAGAATCCTTATGAATATTTTAAATTAGTTACACCTTTTTCTAATAATAACATGGTTTTATTTGATGGGCAAAATAAAATAAAGAAATTTGAATCTATAGCAGAAATATTGGAAGAATTCTATTAAGTTAGATTATAATTTTATTAGAAACGCAAAGATTATCTTCTTTCAAAACTTGATAGAGAAGTTCAATTATTATACAATAAATCAAGATTTATCAAAATGGTTATATCAGAAGAAATTCGATTAAAGAATGTCAAAAAAGCAGACCTGGTTTAATAATTAGATAAACATTAATTTACAAGATTCTCCTAATTAATAACTGTAAATTCAACTAAATTAAAAGCATTTGGTGATTCTAAAAATCCAAAAAAGAATGTAGATGACAATGACACATCAGAAGTTTCTGATGATGAATAAGTGAGTAAGAAAAAATCAGAAAATATTGAAAATCAATAGAATAATAAAACAACACTTGACATTAGTGATTATAATTATCTTCTATCAATGCCATTATTTTCTTTGACTAATGAGAAGGTAGTAAAATTAGAAGAAGAACTAAATTCTAAACTTCAAGCTAAAGATAAATTATAGAATAAAGAAATAGCTGATATGTGGATTGAAGATTTAAATAAATTTTTAGAAGCTTATGATGAAATGGTAAATATTGAAAATAAGCTCATTAATTAAGCAGAAAAAGTTCCTAAAGATTAAAAAAAGAAATAGGTGAAAAAGAAGAATGTATAAGATGGAATGCAAATTGAATAAGAAGGAAAGAAAAAGGCTAATAAAAAATCTAATTAAAATGATAAACCAAATGAAAATAGTCCAAAAAACTAATCAAACAGAAAGATTAGAACTTTAAAGGAAAATAAAAGTTAAGAAAACTGATATTATTTATATATCATTTATTAATTATTTACTTTTTATAATTAAAATAATAATATTAATAAATATCATTTAGATTATATTTCATAAATTGAATATAGTTTTTTAATATTAGCATCTTTTGTCATAGAACCTTAAATCGAATTACTAAATTATTTAACTTTATTAGCTATTTTAAAAGAAACATCATTTTATTCCCTAAGCAAATAAATGTTAAATTTATGTCGAATTAATATAAGATTTTATACTTTATTGTATACAATAGGAAACAGATTCAGATCATATTATTGATTATTAGATTATGTATAATTGAATTAAATAAGATTTTCTGTTTGTTAATATATCTTACTATAACCATATTTATTTTCATACTTCCAATAATTTTTATTTATCTTTCTTCATATAATAATTTCGTTATCTTCTCCACATGATACTAAAATGGTTTCAGTAAAATTCAATGTTATGCTGTTGATACAACTTTTACTTTAATTAAAGGATTATTGTAATTTTAACTTATTATTGTTAATATCAAATTTTCAAATTTTAATTGATTAATCTTGACTACATGAAATCAATTAACTGTCATCTTTGCTTAAGAGTATACATTCAATTTAATCAGTATGATCGAAGATTTCCATTATTTAAAAGTGATTTGCTTCCAACATCTAATTGAGCAATCTCCAGAACCCGAAATGAAACTATTAATAGAATGAGTGAAAGAAAGACATCTTATTTTATCATCATGTCCTTTCAATTTTAAAACTTCCTTTATATTCCCATTTAAAAAATCCCATAATTTTATATATTTCCCACATCCAGAAATCATAAGAGATCCAATATTATTAAATGAAATAGCAAAGCAATCATCAGACTAATAATAAGTATTGTTTATTAATTTAAGATTAATTGAATCAACTTTTAATTATTAATTTTATTAGGTTTACTTTTTTTTATAGTTATTTACAAGAGTTAGTAATTATTATCTAAGTTCTTTTACTAAAGATTTAGGATTGTAGTTTAGCTATTAAATCTTATAAGTAATTTTAGTAATCCAAGATAGATTAATTTCTTAAATTTCTTTAAGTATTTGTTGATTTAAAATATCTGTTTATTAATTTTAAATAAGTAATTCTAATTCTTTAAAAAAAATTTAAAGTTTAAGTTTGTTATCCTAATTAATTAAGAAATTTGATCCATTCTTCAGAATTACCAATCAATTAATCAATAGTTTAAGTAATATTTGATTTGATTTCAAATAAATTTCTTGATATCATTTCAATATTTTATATATTGGTTGAAATTAAAGTTTCCTTAAATTCTCTAAGTTTACTAAATTTATGATCAATCATTTATAGAACTTTAGATAAACCTACCATTTTACATCAGATTCAAAATCTTGCATACAATCAGAGCATAGTATTCTCTCATTTTTAGTCAATTTCGAATCAAAAACAACCTTATTCTATCATAAATGGATTAATCAATTTACTCATATTAAATTTTTTATTAATTCTTAATTGAATTTGTTATTTTTATATGGATAAAATAATAATTAGAACATCTAAACAAGAAATCATAAACTGTATTAATCAGATGAATGATTATTTAAATAGAATTTCATTTTTATATTATTACACAATATCATAAAGCAAAGTTTATTTATTTATTTTACTAAAAATGCAATATCATATAGTAAATCAAGTATACAATATTGTTATGATTTCTCCGTAGTTAATTCCAACACATGGATATAAATCATCTTCATCATCAAATTACATCGACTTTTATAAATATAATAAATTATTACAAATTAATTCTGTTTATTCTAATTTGTCCACACTATTTTCTATTTCTGATAGTTTATTTCAACTGAAATAATATCATTATTCTAAAATTTAAATGATTATTCTTTATTATTAATATTAGGATTTAAATTAGAGTAAACATAACCCTATTGATTGATGAGATAAGCTCTAGCTATATTGATATTTATATACCCATGTGCTTAATTCTTTTATAAATCAGGCTAGAAATTAGTTTAAATTATTTTATTTTTATGACAAACACCTATATCAGATGCACTAGCATTTATTATTTTAAAGGAAAAATAAATAGGGCAACTTTATTTTGGAATTTTGGGTTCACAAATAGCAATTTTCCATCCAACACATGAATTGATTGCTTTTTTACAATTGTTTTCTAGTTTTATTGTACTATGTTTTTAATCTGATGAAAATAAAATAGATAATTTTTCAGGTATTTCTTAATTTTATTGAAAGAATTATGTTCTTATTAAACTATTTGAATTATATTAACTATTCTAACCTATATTTTCTAGAAAATTAGTTTATAAAATAGGAATTGACTTAAAATTTTTAAAGTTACAACATAGATTATTTAATCTCTCATTCAATTCATTTAAATTTACAATCAAACCTCCTGTTCCTTCTATTAATTCAATCTTGATTAGTTTAGTAATTTACTCATTAAGATAATTTTAAGATAGTTATTACACATTGTCGAATGATTAAACATAAAGTGGATTTACTATGTCATAAATAGTATTTATTGAGATTCTTATTTGTTGAATGATATTCATTAATTAATCATACGATTTCATTTTTTAGAATATCCATTAATTTAATTACTTAAAGCTCTTTAATTATTGAAAGTGATCAGAATGTAAAGAAGTCATACAATATTAACAATAAGTTCTAAGATGTTGACAGTCTTATTTTATGCAACAACCTAAAATCTAGCTCTCATCATGATTCTCAATCTAACAAATTAGCATCTCTATTTGAAAAGTAATATATTTTTTTATTATTATTTTTTGAATAAAATAGTATTAAAAAATTTTTAATATGTATTATGATATTAGTTGATTACTTTATAAGTTAGGGAATAATAAATTTTGAAAACATATTAACCTTTTAAAAGTAATATATTAGGAATGTATTAATGAATAAAAAATAGAATAATATTAATAATTAATTTGTTTAAATATTGAGAATAATATCATTTTTAACAATGTAATGAATAAAAATAAATAAGAATAAAGATCAATTTTATAACTTCAATTATCTTATTTAGAGTCTTCTACTTATGTCATCCCATGTTATTAAATATTAACCGTCATCTGTCATTCTTCCAAAAACTCCAGATGTACAATAATCAATTGATTATTTTGTAATAAATTAACCATCTTAATTATAGAGAATTAAATTTACTGAACATTCATTCTTATTAACCAATATCTATTTTTCACTAATAAATTATTAAGGAAAGAACCAAAAACAACCTCTTCTTTTCATTTTACAAGTTCCTATTTCTACTGGTATATTCTTTGTTTTTTAAAATTAATTAGTTTTAGAATTCAATTCATAGATATGTAATTATTCCTTTCTTTCTGGTTGAAATGTGAATACAGAATCATTTATAAAACAAAGTCTTCTACCCCAAGTTGTTACATTAATAGTTTATAATAATACCCAAACCTTACTCTTTACTTCTTATTAATGTATCAATATTTAAGGATGTTTAGAACAAGAAATAATCTAATTTTCTGTCACATTCAAACTCATAGAACTAATATAATGTTAATGTCCAATTAATGTTTGATGACATGTCCAATAATCATTTTCTCTAATCCATATTTTAATAAGTGTATCATCACTACCAGATATAATTGTATCCTCTTTACTATTTACTATTAAACAATTTACTCCTCCTTAATGTTCTTCCAATTATTATTTTAAATGCCATTATTAATCATCACTATATTAAAATACAATTATTGTTTTATCACAACTACCTGATATAAATTCTTTAGTCTTTTTCATGTGATATACACAATAAATACTCTTTTTATGAAGGTTAATTTCTTAATTTAATTTTACTTCACCATCTATGAAATCAAATACTTTAATTGTACTTGATTCATATCCAGCTATCATTATAGTAGATTCCATATTAAATGCTATTGAATTTATTTATTATTCTTCAATTGAATTGATCAATTCATAATTTATTGTACTTAATTCTCCTTTTATCTTTTTATTAGGACTATCTAAAGAAGATAATTCTAAATCACTTATACAATTATTTAATGTTTAAATTAAATTATCTACATTTTTACAAATAATTCCTAAAATAGATTGTTTCTAACTTTCCATTTGTAATTTAGAACATAAATAATCATTTAATTATTCAATACTTAAATCTTCAAATTCTTCTTAACTTAATTAATTATTATTAAACATTTCATCTCTTAACCATTTAAATAAAGTATTAACATATTCTATATTTCTCTCAAGATCTTCAAATATAGTATTGCTTTTATTCTCAAATAATTTCCCATAATCTCTTAATTTATGAACATCCTTCATATGAGAATTGTGTTTTTCACTTTATAAACATTTAAAGCAAAATACTCTGCAATCTCTACAATATTGATTCAAACAGATAAATTCAACATTAACTCCATGTTCAGGAATAGAACAAAATTAATTCATTTTATGAATATTATCAATCAACTATTATTACAAAATGGATTCTAATTATCATTTATGGCAATTTATATTTGGCTTTTAAAATTTGGATGGTATTATTTTTATTATATAATTTCTATCAATAAAATCTAAAATTTTATTATTTATACTATTATTCTATTAAATTAATGAATTTTAACTTAAAATCATTTTAAATGATTTTAATATAATTGAATATATATAATTATAAAGTATCATTAATCAAAATTATGTGTATTACCAAATTTAAATTTTTTTTATATGTCTCTCCCAACTTACTAGATAATTTCCATCATTTGATAATTACCCATAAACATAAGGAAAATGAAATTAAATTGTTTGCTAATTAATTAATTCTCCATTCTCCTTTAAAATAATTAATATTAAACAATTTTAATTTTTATTTAGTATAATTGATTTATTTTGAATAAATTATAAAGGCGAATAGAATGCACAAGTTTTCATCTATTAATTCTTAATTTTCACTTCTTAAATAAGAGAAATTTCATTTTTAGCATCTATTGTATAAATTTAGAGAAAGTTTCCACACCAAGGTTAAAATGCAAATTTGTTTTCTTAATAAAAAAGTATTCTAACTCCTCCTTCTAATATATGAAATGATTTTGTCAATATCCAATCATTTATAATTTTCTTAATAACTAATATATAATTAAATCTTCCACATGCTAAAATCATGTTCGAAGATTCATTCAGAGTTAAACCATGTACTTCTTCATCAACTTCAAAGGATTTTAAAAATTTCCATTAGTTATTCCTTACCCAAAAAGTTATTTGATAAGCCTGTCCTGTTACTAATAAATTCTCTTCTCTATTTTTTAACATACAGTTTATTTTTTAATCATTATTAATACATTATAAGCTTTTATTGTTTTTCAATAAGTTTAATGACCAGAATCTTATTTAGCCATTTGAATTAGATGATATAAATTAATTCTAAAGATTAATAAATAATAGACAATTATTATTATAGAGATTTCCATTTATAAATGATATTTATTTGATATTCCCTTATTTAAATTGAAATATTTTTAAATTTTCATTACATGTAACAATTAACATGCTTGAAATTTAATTAAAAATAATTGAATGGCATTTTTGTTGTTATTTAATTGAATTTACTAGGTTATATTTAAAATGAATATTAGAAATGCTATTTTATTGAGTAATTTCCTTTTCTTATTGGATTTATGTCATAGATAAATATATTTCGAATATAATTAATATTATGTATTTTTAATACTTAATTATTTGCTTTTAATTTCCTGATTACAATATTGTTATTCTTTTCGAACTATTCCAATTATAAACCTATTAATAATTCATTCTAATACTAATTTATTAGGTGTACTAAAAATAAATATTTTTGTATTAATTTGTATACTATTAATTTGATTGTATAAGAAACAATATATAATTTGAAAATTACATTTTTGAATAGTTCAACAGAGGATATTTTCAAATAATATATAAATTTAATAACTTGAATGTTAAATATAAATTATTAATTTTGTCGAATATGGCTGTTTAAAATATTGACTATAAAATTTAAATTAATTTTGATAATCATTATTATCAGGTTTTTGGTGTTTATGCTACAGGTTCTTAGATTTCAGAATGACTTATAAATTATATTTCTTTTAATTAATTACAAAAGTTAAAAGTATCTTTATTAAATAATTTATCCTGTATTTTTATACCAAGATGATCTAAGACACTTTTACTTTTCTATTAGATCATACAATTATCTAATTCTAATATTTGATTATTATTTTAATTTTAATCTTAGTTTTCGTTTTTATAACAAAAACCATTTTTACCTATTTATCTTCTATGATTTTTTAATAAAATTTATTATTCTTTTGTAAGTAAAATCTTTTTAAGAATTTTAATATCTTATAATTTTCTTAAAATCTGAACTATTTCTAAATATTTATTAATTTTGTTTTTAGCAACTATAAATTATTTTTTTTTGAATTAATTACACCCAAAGATTATAAACCAAGGATCAAGTCTAGATTAACTTAATTTATTATTTTTATTTTAGGATATAGGTACTTTATCAGTTTTATTTATCTAACTCTTCATATCTCTTTCTGTTAATATCATCATGACATTTTAAGATTATTAATTTGCAATATCATTTTAATTAGAAAAATTGAAAAGAGAATTAACAATTTCTAATTTCATAAAGTTTTCAATAATAGGTCTTAATATAATAGCTACTATCATTATAAATATCTAAAATATTCCACCTAATTTACCTAATATTGTTTATAATTTAACATATGTTCTAATATTAATTGTTTATTTGTAATCTAATCTTATATAATGAACAACTATATATTGATTATTATAAAATTCAGATATCTCTCTCCATTCACTTTATTAAATATTTGATTAATCCTTTATTTATTCCCAAATTAATCCTTCATCTGTAGATGTTTATAATATTCTATATTTTTAAGAAATAGTCTTAGAAGTGCTTAAAGAAAAAGTTGTAAATTCATTTGTGATAATTTCTTAATAAGGTTATCCAGGTTGATCAAGTTTAGTAAGATAATCACTTTTATAAACATTATAATGGCCTGATTCTAAAATACTTTCTATTTCTTCTTATGATGCACAACTCTGAAATAAACTTGTATTTTGACATGCAGTAAACTAAATAAATATGTATCTGAATATGTTCGAGGAAATCAATCCCTACAAAATCTAATCTATTTAAAATTTTATATACTAATGGATTCTCTTTTAGATATTATCTATTAATGCATTAAATCCCTCCCATTCTAATAATTGAAAAGTATTCTTTCTATATATCTGTTGTGAAATGTGACATATTACATGGCTCTATTGGTACTTATGTACAACTTATTAATCAGTAATCTTTACTTTAATTTTACAGAAACATTTCCAGAATATTAATCTTTTGTTCTTAATCTCTCACATTAACTGATATTTAATTAAAAATATCGATTAATTCCTATTAATGGCTCTGAATAACGATTCACTACAGATATTGCTAAAGTGAAGTTATCATTTTTAAGGATAAATGGCTGATTATAGTTAATATTTATACTTCAGTTTCAGATATAGATAATTCTGTTTGATAGATTGCAGGCTTTGATTATGAGACCATAGAGACTACTTCTGTAAGAAAAAAATATAGTCCAAACATAGCAATCATTAATGAAGTTACAAACCCAAGGACTGAGGGAAATTTGCTACGATTGAGTATTGTAAAATTGGGTTATTGGGCAAAAATATCAAAATGATAGAGAAATTCCTCTTTTAATTTCTGTGCTAAATTCGAACAGCTTTCGGATTCTCTTGACATACTAAAAAATTTAATTAAAATCTTCTATAATGGAAAATATCTAATTTTAAAGTATAATTATAAACAGCCGATTGTTTATTACTCTGATTTTGATAATCTATCAAAAAATAAATTTTTTCAAACACTTAACATTGAATGAGTTCATTTCAAAGGCTAACTTCAATTTATTTTATATAATAATTAACTTAAGTATAAATAAAAAGAGGATTCTAAACATTGAATAGCTTTCTTTATTTTGTTAAATTCAATACATTCATTTTTCGATTAATATATAAATATGATAATAATCTTATTCTAATTATAATTTGAGCAATTAAATATTTAATAATTTATTATAAATATAACAAAATATCATTAAAAGGAAAAGTTTTATCTATTGAGTAAAGTTAAGCCGACTATTGTCAACATTTAATGATAAATTAATTAAAAAATATTCCTTATGACAATAGAGTTTATTTTCAAAGTTAAAATAACAAAATTAAATATATTTTATATTTTGGAAATGTCTTTTCACTAAATATTAAGAATTATTCTTTAATTATTCTATAAAAATCTCGATAAAGGAACCTAATTTTATTAATCTTATTTTCTTAAATTTTAATAAATGATTATTCATTAATCAAAATAAAACATATTTATTTGAGTTAAGATTTAACTTTTTAAAGTATTTATGTAATAATCTAAATTTATATCAATTTTATTAGATTTTGAATATTAATTCTATGTATTTAAGATTTATAAATGATCTTTATTAATCTTGAAATAAGAAAATATTCCTTAAAATAAATAGTTTTAAGAACTATCTTTCATTACTTTTTTAGCTTTAATTTATTGATCTTTTTAAAAATTATCCTTGAGCATAAAATTGATGAATAGAATATAAATTCAATTTTACTTATATGAAAATAGGAAAGTTGTATAATTTTATAAATAATAATTTCTACTAATATAAAGAAAATAATAAAAATTATATTAGTAAATAATATCTTTTTTTTATTGATCTCATATTATTATTAATCATCTTTATTTAATCTTAATTCATAAATATTTATAAATGGCTACCAATATTATAAATATTATTAAATTTCCAAGAATTTATACTTTACATTTTAAAAATTTCCTGGTTTTAAATTTTTAGACCTTGATTATGATATATTGAACCAATCATTTTATTTCTCTTATCCTAAGAAACTAAGAACCTAATGATTAAATTTTTGCACTTTTGAATTCCATTACTGTAAAAAGTGTTATCAACAGTATTTGTTATTTTTTTTATTTCTAACAACTTATTCATATCCTTAAAAAAATGGATTCTTAATTCTAAAACCATTAATTTTATATATGATTAATTCTTATTTTTGTTCTAATAAAGATAAAAATAACAATCATTTGATGATTGATTGAACTCAAATTACTTTACAAATAGTATTCAAAGCTTAACAGATTTATTGTTGTTGCAATCCTACTATTAATCATATTTATTCATTTTATTTGATTTTTGCAACATTAGAATCAATTAAAAAATACACAATGAACTATCTTATATATCGTCGTCTGATCTCACAATATTCTTGTACTGTGAATTATTGTTAATATACTTTAAAAATATTCTTCAGTTTTATAATCAGTGTATTTATAAGAAAATTATCGAGTTATCTAATTCTGTTTATTCGACGAGCTGATACACTTAAATACATACAATTAAGAAAAAAATATTGGAAATTTATAAGCCTTTTTCTTTTCTTAGATTATATATATCTATATATAATATTCTTGGGCAATAACAATTGGTTTTTTTGATGTGTTAGCTTTTATATTCATTCTATGTCTTTAGATCCAGAATCCCATATTCTAAACTTTATCAGGCTAAAGTCAACGAAAAGAATAACATTGCAAATGCAATAAGGCTAAATTTTTGTTAAATTTTCTAAATTATTATATTTTAATCTTCAGAGATGATAGATGCCTGACAATTATCACTCCAAGCCATTTTTAAGCTAACATGAAGAGTCCCTATGAAAAATTCTAAACAATAAAAATAATAATGATGTTCAATAAATCTTAAAAATTAATTTTTATAAGTATTCAAGAAACAAAATATTTTATATTTAATAAATTAAAAACAATTAATTTTGGCTTTATTTAAATATCTAATTTACTAAAATTCTCTTATTAATACTTTTAATGAACAATTTAATTCTCATTTGCTTATTAGCTGTTGCCTTAACATAGCTAGTTTAACATTCAAATACATATAATGATTGTGAATAAGAGATTACTGTATCAGTAGCCTGTGAATGGATGGCTGCATTTGGAAAAACAGCATCAAAATTTTAGAAAAAGACAACAGTTGATCCAATCAAGTTCATTCAAACCCTTTTGTGAACTTTTTGATAATCCAGAAATAAAATGTGCTAAAACATTTTGTAAAATATACAACAACAAATTGCTAAGCTATAGCCTATTAATCTGTTAGTGATGGAAATGCATCTGATAAAACTAAAAATTGTACATTTGATTAATATAATTCAACTCTTCCAACTCAATTTGTTGATAGTGGTATTTGTGATTCCTATGAAAATTTGCCAAACACTAATGAAACTGAAAATTCTAATTATTTTTTAAGTAAAATTAGTGATGTTGGTGTCAAATGTGCATTCACATCTATTGATACTACATGTAGAGATTTTGATTGCTAAGATATACAAAATACAACCTCTTAAATGAGTTGTGTTTATCTCTTAGGAACATGCTATAATAGAACTTCAGTTTGTACTGATATCTCTGCTTTAAGTGGAAATGAAAAGGTTTATTGTATTTAAGTCAGTGCTGATAGTTTATGTGTTTAAGTATCAGGAACAAAATTTGCTGAACTAAGTGAGTGTCATCTTTATAGTGTTACAGATAATTAAGCATCTATTTGGGCAACAATGACAGATGAAAAATTTAAATGCTCATATATTTCTGGTAATAATTGTGTCTAATTGGATAAATGAGAAAGTTATGATGGATCAGGTACATAAGAAATGGGACCTGCAGATGATTAAGAAGAGACAGAATGTAAAGCAGTAAAATCATCTGATGGTTATCCTTGCATTATGGATTCTAGTAAAAAATGCAGAACTTAAGTTTGGACTGATAATGATGCAAGTGCTACAGATTGTATTAATAATGTTCCAGGTTGTCTCTATTATTCCAATAAATGCATAAAAAAAAAGTAAGTTGTGTAAATCATACAACATAAGGTGATGATGATACAGCTAAATAAATATGGTGTGAAGGAGTCTAGAATGATACAGGAGATTTTTTTACTTGGGATTCTGCTAATTCAAATTGAAGAGATAGATCATGTAGTGATAAGGTATTCTATACAGATTTTGATTGTTAAAGTTATCTTAAATCTTGTAAAACAAAGAACTATATGTGTTTCATAAACTAGAGCGTGTACTTCAAACAATGGATCAGCTGATTTTTGTAATATCTTATTAGATTCAACAGGAAAAGATAGATGTAGACCTATTGCAACTGCTACTACTACACCCTCACCATGTACAATGAGAACATGCAATGATAATGTTACCTACCACTACAACTGATTCTGAATGTGATAATTATTTAAGTGGATGTGTCACTCGTGGTACAGGATGTATTCCAAATTCAGAACCATGTACATCATACAGTGAATTATTTAAAAAATATACTGGATCAGATAATAAGAAAAATCCTACTTATGAATATAGTTCTGAAGATGCTGGAAATACAGCCACAAATAAATTTAAAGTAAGAATTTGTGCAAATAATTCTACAGCAAAATCAGATGCTTGAATGTGCTACTTATATGAAAATGTGTTGATGCAACTTCATCATGTACTGCATTTAAGGGAGATTAAGCAACTTGTGCTAAATTCTTGGGTACTTCAGTTTGAGATTATTGTTGGAATACTTCAACTGCATTGGTTACAGCTAATTGTACAAAAAAGAAGTGCAGTGATATTTCAGGTAAAAACAATAAAGTATGTAATGATGATATGCCACTATTTAAAACTACTGATGAATCCATTCTGTGTTTTTGATGGAACTTCATGTATTGATTACGGAAAGAATTGTAATGCATTTAATGAACCTAAAGAGACATGCCCTACTTATTTAGGTAAAGATGGTCCATGTAAAGCTACAACTGTTGGAACTCTTAAAGGATCATGTGCTAAGAGAGTATGTACAGAAGCACCAAATACTCTTACAACTGATGATGATTATTAGAAATATCATAAAGATTGCTATACAACTGATTATGGATGCACAAGTACTAAATAATGTTTCAATTAGACATCATAAGCTGCTTGTAAATTAAGAGAGGAATGGATATGGGCTAATTAATGTACTAATGCTATTACTGCATGTTCTACTTATAGTAACACTAATTATTCATAATTTACAAATTCTAAAGTGAATGGTAAGTTCTGTGCTTAGTAAGAATCTAATTAAACTTGTAGAGCTTAAGTATGTGAAGATCAACCAGCAACAATAGCTTCTCATGCTTAATGTTAAAACTTTGCTGACAATTGTACTACAAATGGAGCTGGTTGTATAACTATTTCAGCATGCACTTCATATAAGACCCAATCTATTTGTATAGCTGCTTCAACAACTAAAGATGGAGTTGGAAGATATGGTTGGGATGTCACAAAAAATAAATGCAGAAGTAGAATTTGCAGTGATAAGAATTGCTTAACCGATGACGAATGCAATACTTTCCTATTAGGATATAAAACAAATGGATCTGGTTGTGTGGCTGGAGCCTCATGTACTGAATTTTCCAATAAATAATTCTGTATTAAATCAAATTCTGGACCATGTCTTTGGGTTAATTGATAATGCTATGATTATGATAGATATGAAGATGCTGACATATACGGAATGTTAAGCATTTTCACCCTTATTTTCAACCAATGGAGATACATGTATTCCTATTACATCTTGTGCCAGCACATCATTAAAGGCTTCTTGTGTTGTTGGAACTGATGGAGCCTGTGGATGGTTATTGACTGGAAAATGTTAGAAGTTTGGATAATGTACAGATGCTGTGGCTACTACAAATGATGAATGTCTCTCTTATGGACCAGCATGTATTACTGATGGAACAGCTTTTCTAGCTAAATCAACTTGTATTAGTTACAAGACATAAACAGCATGTAATAACAATGGAACTGATGGTATATGCTTTTGGAATGCCACAGCTAATACTTGCAAATTGAGGGAATGTGGTAATGAATAGAAGGGTAAAAATGACTAATGCAAACTTATTTCTATCACAGGAGGATCATGCACAACTGATGGAACCAAATGCATACCACTATCAATATGCTCAAATTATGTTGAAGCTGGATTTTTCAATGGAACTGATGGAGAGTGTACATTTGCATTACCAGTTGGAGCTACTACAGGAAACAAAATCTGCAGATTAACATAATGTGAAGATATTTATGCTGGAACTTCTAATGCTAACTGCATGGAAGTTATCTCTGGAAAATAATGTATATCAAATGGAATAAGTTGTATTGCCAAGTCTGCTTGTTCATCTTATAAAACTATTACTGCTTTTAATGGAGATGGCTTAGAAAATAATAAATCAATTTTTATTGCTTTCGCTCCTACTGGAACTGATAAAGTTAATTGAACTTGCAAGACATTCTCAGCATGTGCTGATGCTATTAAAGATAAACTGGCTATACGAAATCAGCTTACACTTATAGTTGGAATGCAGCTACTAATAAATGTGAAAGTTGCCTTTCAGGATCTGTCAATCCAATCAATTCGAATAATACAAATAACTAAATTGATAATTGAACCACTACAGATAGCGCTTACATCTTATCTGCTATTTCATTAGTTATTTTAGGATTAATGGCATGATTTTGATTTTAATATTATATATAGGGAAGAATATAATATTACAAATTATTTTCATCTTTCAACAGGTTTATTTGAAAAATAAATCTCTGATAATAAAATTTTAGAATATTATAACAATCATTAAAGAATTTTTGATAAATAAATATCAAAAATCATATATTTGTTTCGAAAATTCTATAGAATAATATTTTATCAGGATGAGAAAAATTTTTGTATTAGAAAATATGCTGCTTTTCTATATGAAATGAAAAATTTATTTGAATAGAACGACAAGAGATATTATATAAAAGATATTAGAAGAACATAATCGATCTTTTCAAAATTAGATCCAGATTTAATACAAGTTTAATAAGTAATAATATGAGTAGAAATATAATTAGGTTTCAAGAATAATCAATAAAAATTCAATATTTAAATGACAAAACCACCTAAATATTTTATCCCTTAATATTTTAAATTAATGCGTTCTCTTAATTTCAGTAATTAAACTAAAACTTTAATTATATCTAAAAGGAATTGATAATACAAAATAAAAGTGAATCATAATTTCTGAAAATTAATGAAATCACTATATAAATGTTTATGATAAAAGTTACAAATTAACATTATAAAAATGAATAAGATTGACAGAGTTTATTAAAATTCAGATGAGATTAAATTCTTTCTTCAACTTTGTTTATGTATTCCCCTAGTCAATTAAAATATTTAATTCCAATATAAGTATTATCTCCTCTATCTACCAATGTAATTACAATTTAGAGCCTTTATAGCAATACCATTTATTAATAATAAAAAAATCATCTTTTAATAAGAAATGAAATAAATAAGAAAAATTATATTAAAATTATTAATAATTAAAAGAAAAAAAAGTTTAACTTAATTAATTTATCGTTTTTTCAATAACACCTTTAATTTATTAAACCTGATTCAATTGGCTTATTCCGTTTTAAATTTTGATGTTAATTATGAAAAGTTTCGCCATTTTTACCTATATGGATTTTTCGTCGGACTTTAGGTTACAGAATTCACGAATATATCTTCTTAATTCAAAGGAATTTCATTATCTGTTTATGAGTTGTTATCTTTCATTGAGACTTTAAATAATTTGACAATATTTACTTGTATCAAAGGATTAGGTAGCAATATTCGCATAAAGTAATTAACGATCATTTTGTGAATCTATATTATTGACTACAATTGAATAATTATTGGTGAGATTTCTATTATTCGTTATTTTTAAAGCTATACTGCTTTATTATTTTATAACTTCACTGTCTTATTATTAATATTCAATAGACTATTCTACTAGATAGGTGACTACCTAAAATAAATGATCAAAAAGTTTTGAATAAGATATCATTGCTTCCAAATTTAATTTTACGCTTTACATTTGCTCTGTATCAGCTATTCTTGCTGAACCCCATGCTTTGCTTTATTTTTTAATTATCTCTTCTAATCTCTCTCTAACAGATTTTATCGTGTTTTTTACATCTTGGAATTTTTTCATTATTGATTATCTTTTTTCTTCTTACATTTAATCATTAGAGTTATTTTTAATTAGTATTAGCAATTCATCAACTTCTTAATTAATTTATAAAGTGTTTTCTTTTATATCTTGTTCTTTTTTTACGATCTCTTTTAATTTCCCATCAGCATTTTTGAAAACTTTCCATCCTTTTTCTATTTCTAATTTGATTATTGCCTTAGAACTCATCTACTTGACCTCTTATATTGTTTACTAGAAGATTTCATTATTTTTTTTTATAGTTATTTGCAGAACTTTTAAATTTTAATTTAGATCAATTATTTAATCCTCTTTTTATTTTAGTTACTCTTCTTTTTTTTGTATCATATACTTCTGATCATTGATATCCTATGTTTTTTTTCTAAAAAAAAATTATTAATATTAATTACTTAATTTCATATTCCAAATTTTTTATTTTCTCTAATTTTTCATCAATAGTTAGTTGATATTAATAGTTTTTATCTTCTTATTTTTCTTTAATATATTTTTATTACTTATTTTCATTTTCAGCTTGAATCAATTTTTATTCAAGTTCTTACCTTCTTTTAAAGAACATCATGTTCATTAAATATTATAAATTCTGATATTAAGTTATTATTAAATCTAAATTATTGGCAATATCAATTTAATATTTCTCTCTATTTTATTCCAATAAATCTTCAATATACTATAACAGTTCCTAATAATCCTATAAAAATATCTAACTTATTTACTTTAAATTGAAATTCTTTTTTAATCTATATATTCTTATTCTTAATATTGAAATTTTCAATTTACTAACTCTTTTTCTCTTAAATATTTTTTTCATAAGGAGATTGTTAATATCGATTAATGAATTTAATAGAATGCTTTGAATTTTATTTTACTAACATTTGGATTTATATAAATAAATAAATAAATTTCTTTGCTTAATTTCATATAAAAAATAAATAAATTCTATTAGCATAAATACATTTAATTTAAGAAAAGAAAAGAAAAACAATAAGAATGATTGCTTATTATTAATAAAAAATGTAATTGTAAAATTATTGTGATAATATATAATAAATATTCTAGATTTGTAAGCATCCTATACAGATATTTTTGTCAATTTATATCTTAAAGTCATGTAGAATTTGTAAACAGGAGATTGAAAAATCAAATATCAAGAATATTTATAATAATATTCATAAAAGAGGAAAAAAGTATAATAATATTTACTTTTTCTATTGCTCTAAGAGTAGAATTAAATATTTTCAAAAATCTAGGTATGAATTGAATAAAGTGCAAATTAATGGCCTTAAATTTTTAGTATTATAAAATTAAAAATTTTTGTAGATCATTAATAAACAAAATACAACCATTAATATGATTAAAATGAAAAGCATTAAAATTGTTTTATTAATATTTTTATATCATTGTTTTAGAAAAAACAATAACAGTAAAGGCAATTACAACATTTATTGTTTACAGATTACCCTAAATTATATCTATTCAATTTAATTATTTTATGATTTATTGATAATTATCTGATGTTTCTGCTATATATGATTTCAATTTAGCAAATTAAAGTATATTTTATAATAGTATAAATGCTAATAATATATTAGCTATCAAGATTTTATATAAACATTGCCAAAACTAATATCAAATTAATATTACATATTTTATCCTAAACTTTAATATAGATATTAACTTTTTGGTATATATATTGTATTTCATTTGTAACTAATTAAGTAAAGGAGTATTAATATAAAGTGAGCATGACCTATTTCTAAAGATCAATGTTTCACACATAACGCTTTAATTTATAGTAATTCGCAGCAATTTTTATAGTGTCTTAGTATTTAAAGCATCAGACATTATGTTAAATAGGAAAAAAAGCCAATCCTTCAATTAGACTCCTAGGTCCATTTTGGTAATTAAGGAATAATTGTATTTTATACTTTCTAGTTCATTATTTAATATTATCATGTTCTCTCTCAAAAATATTTATCAATTTATTATCAATCAATAATTAACTTTTTATCAATTAAATTACTATATGTTTTATTTTCACATAATCTATAAATAGCTACTTTATTAAGTTTGGTAAGAAAAAAGAACGATATAAATATATTTTAATTTATTTATTTCTTTTCTTTTTATCAAATTTTAATGTTGATAAAATATTAATAATTTATTGATAAAGAATTTCTGAATTCATCTATTAATTTGAAATGAATTACAACTTTTATATGTTCTTTAATAAAAAGTTTTTTAACTAATTTTAAATTGATTTTTATCAAATTGCTTAATGAAATTATTTACTTTAATTTAGTTTTATTTAGAATATACATGTCTTTTCTATTAATATCCTAGTAACAACTATCAGAAAAAAATTTTAAAAAACTTGAAATTATCATTATTTTCAATTTTAATTATAATCAATTTATCACTCAAGATTTAATTTAGTATCTACTTTTAATACATCTTCAATTAAAACCCAAACGATAAAGGAAATTTATTTTCATATTAAATCTTAATTTTTATGATAATACTAATTAATTATAAAAACACTTAAAACAACACAGATAAAATATCAAAAAGAAAATATAAAAAAAATAGTTAAATTATCTTTTCTTATTTGTATTAATTCAAAAACGATTTTAACAGCAATTTGAAAGGGATCATATTTGTTATCAATCTTGTCTAGATTAAGGAGATCTTCTAAATTGGTAGGTTGGGTTTGTTTAGAATTCCCTAACAATTGAACCTGTGAATTTTGAAGAGGCTCTTAACATTTGTTAATGAAGAATCTAAAATCACAATTCTATGTACTAAACCAAAAATAACAAATTAATCAAAATGCAAATACTTTTACAATATTTTACTCCAAACAGAATTCTCTTTATCAATAAAATTAAATTAATTTTACAAAGAATGAATGTCCATAACATTTCATTATTGACCTAATTTGTAATTTTGGGAATGCCAATAAAAAGATTTAAAATATTTTCAAATGGAAGTGGAAGTTTATTAACTTATAATGGTGTTCATCCTATGAATTCTGATAGATCATTCTGGTTGGATCTCAAATTATATTAATGAAGGAAATAGAGAAAACTTATATTAAATAAAAAGTATCTATGATATTATTATTCATCTTAAAGTGAATTATGATTAGCTATCTATCAATTACAACAATTCAAAAATTAGTTAAATAACTAGGATAATCCTATAATAAAACATTAAACATATGTCAGCAAGTCACATCTCATTAAAATATAGAAAAAGTGTATAATACTCACTTCAATTGTAGTTGAAAATAAAAAATAGTTTATGCCCTATTTACAATGATGAAAGTGGAGTAAAATAGGGCAAAATCTTCATACAAACTTTATTTCAATCATAAAGTATAAATATTATAGGTGCAATTTGATAAGGATTGTTATTATTTTAGTGTGTAAGAACAAAAATTGATAATAACTTAAAGTAATCTTTGAGAAATATTAATTGAAAAAAGCTAATTATTGAAAGTTTATGAACTATTTCAACTATGTATATAATTAGGGTAATTGTAGCTTGAAAGTAGAAATATGGTGTTTAGTTTGAAATAGTAAAATAGATGAAGAGTTTTAGTTGATGTTGAAAAAGTGTTACAAAAGTTGAATTAGAAATAAAATATTTTATAATGTGTAACATTTCTATCATAGAATTATTTTTTAAGTTTACTTTAATTTAATCTGTTTCCATAATTTATTTGATTCTTAATTAGGTAAGGAAGTAGGTATTTTTTCAAGTTTTATTATGGATTTCCTGTGCATTGGTTACCATTTCTCACATATGCTGCGGAAAAATATCTCATTAAAGGGGCCACATAATCAAGATGTGCATTGATAAAAGAATTCAATATTTACGTCATATGTCTAATTGGGAGATACCAATTTAGACTAGTTAGTTAATTACTTAAGTATTCGATCCTATTTTACATCATTTTCTTGGGGATTATAAGATAATATGAGATTGTATTCTATAAATAATAATAAATTTAACAATATTTTTAATAAGTCAATGCTTAATAATTAAGTGACCTCAATGCAAAGATATCAGAGAGACGCTAGTGGATCAATTAAGAAATAGGAGAATAAATTATTAAAAGAAAATCAGTAAAAAAGCTTCTAAAAATGGGCATCTAATTAATATATAAAAATAATTAAAAGCAAAAGTAACAAAGTTAACATTGATAAGTAGGAAAATCTCTTTATTGAATAAATCAAAATATGGAAATTTTTATCAATTCAAACTTAAATTATACCTTACCTGCAATAAATGAAAATAATTAGAAAACTTAAAAATTTAAATAGAATTAATAAAATAAAAAAGTCATCTTTAATGATTAAAATAATATATTATTAAAAATAGAAATAGTTTAATTATTCTGTTATATTGAATTAAAAATTTATTATATTATATCATTTTATTATTTAAAATAAAAAAATCGAAATCTTCAAATGCAATTATGAGCAAAATGAAAATGAGGCCATAAAAGGCTTTTGTTTTAATTCCAAGTGTTAAACGGCTTGCTAATATTGTTACAAATGCTTAATGAAAATACATTCAGACTATCATGAAGATTGAATTAGATTCTCAGAAATACCTCATTTGATAAATTAATATATTTTAGCTTAGGGTAAAATAATACAATAATTAAATGAAATCTACATTCAAATAAAAACCAGATATAATCAAATATTAAAAAAATGAATGACAATATTGATATTTTAAAGGATTTAAAGTAATTATTATCAACTTAAGAATAATTAAAATTCAAATCATCAATTAATTTTGAAATAATACTATTCATTAAAGTAATATAAAATAGAAGGTTAATCTTTATTTATAGATTTTAGAGTAATTTATAA